AAACACAGGGAATCCGGGGCGGATGATCCCTTCAGGACCAGTGGTGTGAGTGGCAATATTGGGAGCATAGAGGGAAGGTGGGTTGGAAAGGGGGAACTGATTAAAAGGATCTACATGCGACATCCTCCCTGTGGGACGGACAGAAAAATGGGTGAAGGGAGACGTCGGACAGGGCAAGATATGACAAAATAATAATTTGTAAATTATCAAGGGTTCATGAGGGATGGGGAAGCGGGGAGGGAGGGGAAAAAATGAGGACCTGATGTTGGGGGCTTAAGTGGAGAGCAAATGTTTTGGGAATGATGAGGGCAAGGAATGTACAAATGTGCTTTACACAATTGATGTATGTATGGACTGTGATAAGAGTTGTATGAGCCCCTAATAAAACGATTAAAAGAAACCCAAAAAACATGGCCTGCTCGATCCTCGCCCTCATGAAGGTAACACAGAAACAAGGGTGGCATGGTAAGATGTGAAGAAATTAAATGGTGTCTGGCTATAGCTAGAATAGCATCTGGGGCTCTTAAAGGCTCGTTTCCAAATAAGCAGCCATCTAAGTGGACATAAGTCCACATGGAAGAAGCACACCCATGTCCGCGACCCAAGGATTGTAAATTATATAATCCAAAGCCAAAGGAGGGAATAATAGCAAAGGCTAAATAGTGAGATTCTGATGGGCAGAAGGCAATAGATGACGGTGGAAGCCCAAAATACACCGGCAGAATCTACACAGGGAATAAGCCTCCAGTGATTTCCCTCTAACTATAATTGAGGGATGGGATTAACCTGGTTATCAGACAGAGCGCACTGGAGAGATGACGATAGTAGACTACAATGATAAATCTGATTTGAACAGTTGGGGCTTGATCTGGTTTTTAATATTTTCAGTGTTTTTTGTTTTTTTTCAAATTAGGTTTTATCTCTGTTGCGATTAGTCATTGTGGGCAGTCCTCTTGAATGTTTATGATGAGTTTTTCTATGTATTCTAGTACATGAAACCCAGGATAGATAGTCCTATAGAGACAACAACTAGATTGAATAATTCACTTATACGATATGTAAATTCAGTGCCAATAAAACTGTTGGGAAAAAAATATAAAGAGTCTGAAATGAGTTGGTCTGAGAGTTGATAAAAAAGATTCAAAATTGAAGTGCCACATTTCTATTAATTTAGCGAATAACAAAGGCAAAGGTCGTGCCTACCTGTTGCTTCTTGGCCATGACACGTGCTCAGTTCCGCCAGAAGCTGGTTAAAGTCATCTTGATGAGCAAGCCAGTTGTCCTGAAATGTGAAGAATCACAGGCAAGTCTAGTTTATTTACCCTGACTGAAAGATGGTCTGTTTTGGAGGCAAGGAAATACAGTGGCTTAAGTTACATTCTAAGCCTTCCATAATGAAAATGACCTTATAAATTTGAATAGAAAAATAATATAACTTTGAAATGGAATTTATCCACATGAATATTAAAAAGGGCTTCTTGGAGCTTGAGCCCTGATTCCCAATGTGAATAGCCTTATCAATGGTTAATTTACAGTCTGATAACCAACAAGTAACCTGAACACAAAATAGTAACACAAAGCAAAATTACTATTTTTTTCCTAGGGGAAATTAGGTAGCATATTTTTACATATAACAAACACACTTGTATTAAGAATGCACTTGCATAGAATATACACAGACATGTAGTAAATTAATACATTCAGGGTTGGATAGTTTTCATAACCACCTATATATATTCTTTGAGCAAAGTATGATCATTCAAAGGACAAGAGCAGTGGGGGGAGGGGTCCTCGAGTGCTCTGGGTCAGAATCAACTGAATGGCGACAGGTTTATTTTATAGGTTTTTCTTTGCCCATTACAGTTTAATATATTTTTCCTCGTTGTATTTGCTTGCAATGACGCCATCGTTTTCCCTGCATCAATCAATACCTAACTATAAAGTGTAAAGCTAAAGTTTGCTAATAAGTTCATTAGAACAAAGAGAACTGGATTTTTAAGGAGCCATCTCGGAGGCAATAAATCAATCCAAACCAGAATTTCTAAGGAGGAGTTGGCATCAAATGTGCTTTCTCAAGAAGGTACGTAAGGTTAGTTACATTGATAAGGTCACTGGGTACTGTTTCTCTTCAGAAAGTATTATCTGTATCTCCTAGTAACTACATGCAAAATGAACTTTATATTCTTTCTTTCATACCACAGAATTTAGCTCTTACTTCAGGAAAATTGAGCTGCTCTCGTCTGTAACACTCAGAGGTACTGAACTAATCAAATTACCTCAGCTTACCTGAGTTAATTATCTAGATATTTTACAAGATTCAGTGGGCCACAAATTTAGGAACAAAGCTTTCGGTTTCGAAGCTTTAAGTTGAACAAAATTGTTGAAAATGATACCTACAGTGGGCCATTATTATTATTTTTTTAATGATTGTATCTTATTAAGAGGAAATGTGAATTCAAAAACAGACAACAGGATATTATTTCCGTGCAGTGTTTCTGAAACTAAAGGCCACCAGCTTTTAATAACATAAGCTAACATTGTACTACATGTAAAGGAAAAAAGGCTCTATCCAAGAATGAGTGTTAATATAAAAATAAAAATTACTTTTGCAATGTTTAGCAATAAAGCTAGAGATTATCGAACAAAGGATCCCACAAGGACAATAAAACAAGGTACAAGCCTGTCACATGATGAAGAACCTGCCAATTAAGGGCATTTTTGCTGTTTCTAAACATGGCCAATAAACACTTGCATAATTAACAATTAATCAACTGGATCTGATTAGCACTTTTATGTTGACAAATAGGAAGGCGATTATGCAATGGAACCATCCGGAAGACAGACTGCTGCTCACTTCATTACTGGTTGTCGCTCCAAGGCCCAGGGTGTTATTTTTCACTTGAACCTTAATATGGTCTGTGGCTCCTTGCTCCTGAGCTCCCAAGCCCTGTGAAGATGAAGCACAAATAAAATCAATCTCTGTCAAGGGCAGAGATCCTGTCTCTCTTCATCAGCTATGCAGTGAGGAGTCAGGTGCCATGTCACCCTTAACACTACAGCTGTAGAGTCAAATCCGACGGAGAGAGTGACCCGAAAAACAAAGCCCCTGTTCCCGGCCGAACACATCTCCCTTTGCTCTCTTAGTGTTTTGTACAATTATTTTATGGAGAGAGCCATAGACTCTTTTGTAAAAAATTAATTTTATTGGCATATATTTCACATATCAAACAATTCATAATAGTTCAATCATATTCAGAAAAGTTGGGCAACCATCACCACAATCAATTTTAGAATAGTTTCTTCTTTCTTGTTCTCATTGTTCTTAACTCCTCATTTCCTTCCAACCTCCCCTGTCACCATGCCCCTAGGAAATTATTAATCTAGCTACTCTTTCGATTTACCTATCCTTGATTTCATATACAGAAAAACATGCTGTCACTCCCCCAAATCCCCCCCTCAAACAGATTTAAGGCCTATACATATGCAACTCTAAGTTGAATATGTCTCTTTCAGATGTTCAGATGGAAAAAAGGGTGGCCATACAATTATCAGAAACCCACCAGAGGCCTACCGAGTGGGAATCCCATGACCATGACCCAGGGATGAGAGCACTCTCCCTGTCAGAGCACACTGGGAAGAGGACCACTGCAGGTAGCTACGCTAAAATGTAACACCCTAGCATGCGATGTCTCTTTTGACCCATTTTATATTTGTTCCAGTTTTAATATTTTCTGCTTTCTATTTAATTGAGGCTTTTCTGTTTTATTGTTAGGCCAGGTTGACTAGAGAAACAAATCCAGTGACCCTCATATATGTATCAGAAAGAGCATTGTATAAAGCAATTATCAAGAAAGTGTCCCAGCCCAGTCCAATTCAATTCCCTAAGTCCAATACAAGTCCATCAGTCCCTCTTCAGACTCGCGCGTCCACAGCAATGGTGCAGAGTTTTGTGGATCCAAGACTGGTGGGAACATGGCAGGCCTCCGGAGGCTCTCTGAGTCAGTGGCAGAGAGGGGGAGGATCCCTGGGCCCTCCTTATAGAAAGAAAGCCACACCCCCAAGGAGACAGCACCAGGATGTAACTGATTGGCAGGTGGGATCCCACCCCTATCTTCTTACAGGTGCCATGTTGGCACAAAACCCTAGCTATCACAGGGGGGGTGTCTGCTTAGTCGCCTGCATCAATTAGCACCCAGCACCGAGGTGTTCCTGGTACAGGGAATAGCAAGTACAAAGACCCTAGGGTGGAGTACTGCAGAACCTACAAGACACCAGGGTGGCTTCAGCAGGGTGAGTGCAGAGGACATTAGAATGAAGGGATGAGACGTCACAGGGTCTGTCAGCAAGCTATGGCAGCAATTGAATGCTACTGAATCAATAATAGGAACCCAATGAACTTTTTAAGTAAGGTAATGATATTGGTCTGGCTGTTCCATGGCAAGTGCCCAACATAGGAAAGTGACCAGAGGAGGGCAGAAGGAAACAAAGCAGGAAAGCAGAGGCTTTGCTGTGGCCGTGGCAAGTGATGCTGGTGGCTGGATGGCGCTATGGCGCAGAGAGGAATGACTTCCAGGATGTGGGAAGGAAGAGGGGAGGAAGAACCCAGCATGACTCCTAGGCTTCTGGCTGAGTAAGTGGGTAGACAGGGAGCTATTGCTTAGTACTAGGAAAGAACAGAGTTGGGAAGCTGAAGAGTTTTGTAATAAAAAATGACATTCTTGAGATAGCTAAAACTCCCGTTGATGCCGACTCAGAGTGACCCTATATGACAGGGGGGAACTCCCCCTGTGAGTTTCTAAGACTAACTTTTGAAGGGAGTAGAGAGTTGTCTTTCTCCCGAGAAGTGGCTGGTGGTTTCCAATTGCTGACCTTACAGTTAGCAGCTTAACTTGTAACCGCTATGCCACCAGGGCCCCTTATATAGATAAAAATATAAGCAGGCTGTTGCATTTACAAATCAGACAGATCTGGACTAGACAAAGGAAATGAACAGTTGTCAGACTTCCCATGATAATTCAAATCCATGGAATGGAAGCTAGGAGCAGAGTGCCTGGCGCTGAAGTCTGAAGCTCCACTGCTGAGGCTCTGGAAGGGAAGCACCGGCAGCAAATGTCTAAGTAGCCTGATGAGGTACGAAGAGGAGAGCAGGGGAGACGGTGGCACTGTGGAAGCCAAACCAAACCAAGCCCACTGCCATCGAGTCAATGCCAACTCACAGGTTTCCGAGCCTGTATATCTTTGTAAGAGCCGGCAGTGGCGCCTTTCTCCCTCGGAGGGCTGGTAGGTTTCAACGTTCAGCTCAAACAAGACCCCTAAAGTCGATGATAAGAATTCTGGAGGCGCAGAGGTTACACATTAGACTGGTAAGTAAAAGCTTGAAACCATCAGCCGCCCCACAGGGGAAAGATGATGCTTTCTACTCCTCTAGAGTCTCAGAACCCACAGGGGTAGTTCTACCCTGTGCTACAGGGTCACCATGAGTCGGAATCCACTTGCTGGCAGTGAGTCTGGGGGTTGGGAAATGCAGAGATACATGTAGAGACCCTACTAGAGTCAGGAAATAATGGAAAGTGAGAAAAGGGAGAAACATGTAGACTAAGCTATAATGCAAAAGAAAATATTACTCTTAGCAATTGTGTAGTTACATACTTTCATGCCGACTTGAAGATATATAGAAGTGTAGGGGTGGTATTCAACTTGCCAAATAGCTAACCGCCAGATGGTTGCTCCCGGAGGTGTGGCTTTCTCATAAGGAGGGCCCTGGGAGCCTCCCCCTCTCTCTGCCTTCACCTTACTGCTTGCTGGCTAGAGCTGCCAGAGCCCTGCCACGTTTCCACTGACCTTGGTTCCACATGACTGTACCCACCAGCCTGTGATTCTCCTGCATTCTGTGGCAGATGAGGCCACATAATTGCACGTGGCTCTGTGAGTCTCAGGAGGGACTTACGGACTAGTACTGGACTTGTGGACTTGAGTTCGGAAGCTTTCGTGATATATAATTACTCCTTGATATAAAATGCTTTCTTACATATGTATGAGTTATCACTAGATTTGTTTCTCTAGTCAAACTGATCTAACACAGCAATATAAACACACTGATGGTTAAGTAGGATTCCATAGGTGACTAACTGAATGCACCATATATGAACTACCCTAGTCATGGCACTTGTTAGGGGCCATTGAGTCCCATACTGATCCAATGCACAACAGAAGGAAACACTGCAAAGTGCTGTGCCATCCTCACAATAGATCCTATGCCTGAGCCCACTGATACAGCCATGGTGTCAATCCATCTTTGAGAGCCTTCCTCTTTTTTGCTGCTATTACACTGTACCAAGCATGATGTCCTTCTCCAGGGACTGATCTCTCCTAACAACATGCCTAAAGTATGTGTGTTATGCTAGTGACACTCATATATGTGTAAAAAAGACTTTTATATCAAGAAGTATTTATATAACAACAAAACATCCCAGCCCAGTCCAGCTCAAGTCCTTAAGTCTAAGAGTCACCCATAAGTCCCACTGCAGACTCGGAGCCACATGCAGAAGCAGGAAGATCACAGGCCGGTGGATCACTTTCATGTGGATCTGAGGTGGGCGGAAAACATCGCAGGGATCCAGCAGCAATCAGGATGGCAAGTGGCAAGCAAGCAGAGAGAGAGAGAGAGAGACACCAGCTTCCCGAGAGCCATATATCTCAGTGGCAGTTTCAAGTGAGGTCATCGGGCTGTAACCTGATTGACAGGCCAAACTCCTCCCCTAAACTTTCATATCTCTTTAGGTTGACATGAAATTATGTAACTACCACAGAATGTAAAATGAAGTCTTGCCATCCTTGCCTCTAAAGAGCACTCTGGCTTTAATTCTTCCAAGACAAGTCGGTTTGTCCTTTTAGCAGTCTATAGTCTTTCAGCATTCTTCTCCAGCACAATTCAAATGCATCAATTCTTCTATGGTCTTCCTTATTCAATGTCCAATTTTCACATGTAAAGGATAAAATGGAGAATACTATGGCCTGGGTTAGATATACTACCTTACACCTCAAAATAGCACCCTTGTTCTTCAATACTCTAAGAAATCCTTGTGTAGCAGATTTACCCAATGCAATACGTCTTTTGATCTCTGACTGCTGCTTCCATGAATACTGATTGTAGATCTAAGCAAGATAAATCCTTGACAACTTCAACCTTTTCTCCATTTATCATGATGTTATCTATTGGTCCAGTTGTGAGGATTTGGGTCTTGTTTATACTAAGTCATAATCTATACTGCAGTCTACTACAATCCTTGATCTTCAACAGAAAGTGCTTCAAATCCTCCTCACTTTCAGCAAGCAAGGTGGTGTCATCTGCATATTTCAGGTAAATAAGCCTTCCTCCAATCCTGATGCTGCACTCTTCTTCATATAATCCAGTTCCTCTGATGATTCGCTCAGCCTACAAACTGAACAAGTATGGTGACCACACAATTATCCCTTCTTCTGTTTGCACAACAGCCTCTTGATCCATGTACCAGTTCCGAATGAGTTATAATGAGGTGTCTGGAATTCCCATTCTTCTCAAGGTTATCCAGTTTACTGTGGTCCACACAGTCAATGCCTGTGCACAGTCACTGTAACACAAGGAAACACCTTTCTGTTATTCTCTGCCTTGAGCCAAGATCCATCTGACATTAGCAATGATATTCCTTGTTCCACGCCCTCTTCGGAATCTGGTCTGAACTGGCAGTTCCCTGTCAATGCACTGCTGCAATTGCTGTGAATGAGGGGAATTGAAGAATGTAGGCAACTGGACAGCCCCTTACAGAAGGAGACAAGCCAGTTAGGGTGCAGTGTAGCAACAATGAAAAATACAACTTTCCTCTAGTCCCTAAATGCCCCACCCCCCCTATCATGATCCCAACTCTACATTACAAATCTGGCTAGACCAGAGGATGTACACTGGCACAGATAGGAACTGGAAACAAAAGGAATCCAGGACGGATGATCCCTTCAGGACCAGTGGTGAGAGTGGCGATACTGGGAAGGGTGGAGGGAGGGTGGGGTGAAAAGGGGGAACCAATTACAAGGATCTACGTATAACCTCCTCCCTAGGGGCTGGACAACAGAAAAGTGGGTGAAGGGAGACATCGGAGAGTGTAAGATAGGACAAAATAATAATAACTTATAAATTATCAAGGGTTCATGAGGGAGGGAGGAGGGAGGGGAAAAAATGAGGAAGCTGATACCAAGGACTCAAGCAGAAAGCAAATGTTTTGAGAGTGATGAGGGCAACAAATGTAAAAATGTGCTTGACATAATGGATTGTGATAAGAGTTGTATGAGCACTTAATAAAATTATTTTTTAAAAAAGAAATTAAATTCTCGTTGACAAAAAAACAAATAATTGTATCTGCATGTGATATCGTCCTGTAGTTTGAGCATTCTGTTGGGTCACCTTTCTTTGGAATGGGTACAAATACGGATCTCTTCCAGTCAGCTGGCCAAGTAGCTGTCTTCCAAATTTCCTAGCATAGATGAGTGAGGGCTCCCAGCGCTTTTCAGCTTGCTGAAACATTCTAACGGCATCCCATCAATTCCTGAAGCCTTGTTTTAGGCTAATGCATTCAGTGTGGTTTGAACTTCCTCCTTCAGTATACCATTGGTTCTTGCTCATATGCTATACCTTTTGAAATGGCTAAATGTCGACTAATTCTTTTCAGTACAATGACTCGGTGTATTCTTTCTATCTTCTCTTGATGCTTCCTGCATCAGTCAATATTTTGCATACAGAATCTTTCAAGATCGAAACTCAAGGCCTGAATTTTTCCGTGAATTCTTTCAGTTTCAGACATGTTCTGCTCTTTTGGTTTTCGAATCTAGGTCCGTACACATTTTGTTATAATAATAGGGTTTGTCTTCTCGGTGGCCCTTTGAAATTTTCTATTCGCTGCTTGACTTCATCTTTTCTTCCATTGCTTTAGCTACTCCACAATGTCTCTTCTGACATCTACTTTGTTCTTTTCTTTTTGATTTTGTCTTTTTCATGACCTTTTGCTTTCCTCATGCATGGTGGTCTTGATGTCCTCCCCCAGTGCATAAGGTCTTCTGTCATTAGTATTCAATGTCTCACACCTGTTCTTGAGATGTTCTCAAAACTCAGGCGCGTACACTCAAAGTCATATTTTGGCTCTTGTGGACTTGTTTTACTTTTCTTTAGCTTTATTCTGAACATATAAGTAATTGATAGTCTGTTCAAGTCGGCACCTGGTCTATTTTTGGCTGCTGATATTGAGCTTCTCCATTGTTTTTCCCCACAGACATTTGAATTCTGGGTATTCAATTTAGAGATGTCCATGTGCACGGTCGCATGGAGATTGATATCCTAGGCATTACTGAGCTGGACTGGCCTGAAACGGGCCATTCGGAATCAGAAAATCACATGATTTATGCTGGCAATGACAACAATCAAGGAAGGGGTGTGGCCTTCATTGTCAGAAAGGACCTTGCTAAAACCAGTGCTGAACTACAATGCTGTTCGTGACGGGATCATATCTACCTGGCTTCAAGGACACCCAAACAATACAACTATTATTCAGATTTATACACCAACCACAAAAGCTAGGGATGAAGAAAATGATGAGTTCTACAAATGACTTAGGTGGAAATTGATCAAACATGCAACTGAGATGCATTGATAATTATTGGGGACTGGAATGCAAAAGCTGGAGACCAAAAGGAAGGAACAGTAGGTGGAAAATATGGCCTTGGTGAGAGAAATGAAGCTGGAGATCGCATGACAGAATTTTGCAAAATCAACAACTTGTTCACAGCAAATATCTTTTTTCAAGAACAGCCATAGCAGAGTAACTGCTAAACAGAGTTGACATTTATGTTCAATGCTAGTGTCACTATCACTAGGTCACAACACTGCAATGCTTTGTCTAAAACCACTGACTGATCTAAAACATAAATTTCTCCTGATAAATTATCCGGATTTATTTGCATGGCTCAGGTATTTTTGCTTTTCTTCAAAATACCTTTCCTTTAGACCAACCCATCTTCTCTAGCATCTTCTGGCCAAACTTGGAATCATCATTACTCCAAGCTGTGTTTCTTGGATCCAGTGCCCACCTCTGTTTCCGCCGACCTACAAATGAGCAAGTATTTTATCAGCAGTGTAGCTTTCAAATATGAAATTCAGACAAATATACATACATCATACCTACTCTCAAACTCACTGTCAGCAAGTCAATTTTCACGCCTAGCAACCCTGTAGGACAGGACAGACAGCCCCTGTGGGTTTCTGAGACTGTAATTTTAATGTTTTAAATTTATTATTAATTGTATTGTATCATTCCATAGTTCAATCACATCAAGCAGTCTTGTAACATTGCTACCACAATCAGTATCCAAACATCCTTCTCCTTCATGGACTCCTTGACTATAACTCTATATGGGAGCAGAAAGCCTCATCTTCCCCCGAGTAGTTGCTAGGGTTTCAAACTGTTAACCTCATCGTTAGCAGCCCCACTCATAGACCACTGCGCTGCCTACATTAAACCTTATAAGCCAGTGTACTATGTGAGGCTGGTTATTGGTGTGTGTCCAGAGTTCATGTCTCTATACAGCAATGTCTGCAGCAATCTCTGAAGATTACATTTCTGAGTATGCTTGAACCGCCCTTTGGATAGGAACTGCATAGTTTAGGTTATGTATTTATATACAATAGGCTAAATTGCTTACCACACAAGAGATTGGCTATCCGAGGGCAATTTCTCTTCCTAGGGGAATGGTAAGTGTCCTTAACCAACGTGGCAAGAGCAGCTTTTCCCAAAGGAAAAGGGGGAGAGAGGGCCCAATAAATGAAAACGAGTAACATTGGGTTAAAAAACTGCAATCTTCTGGAAGGATGTCTTACATCTTTACTGTACAAATGTGCACGTCCTCTTAGAAGGTAAAGTAGGCATGCTATGTTTCCCAACCTTATTTGGTCAAACTTCCATTTCCCTGGAACACTCACTGACCAGTGCTGTAGGAATTCTCAGATTTAGAAAAATCTCCCAAGGAGAGCAAACAATCTCGAGTCTGCTGAGACAGGTTCATCTTTTACATGTCTATTATCATTCTTACTGTGGCCTATGCTCTTGTGCTCAGATGTCCGCTTGGTGCTCACTTATGTGCGGGGGGGGGAAAAAGCTAACGGAGCTCACAAGGTTGCTCTTGGCTGGGGTCTGTTCACTTGGACTTCAGGAGGGTTCCCACCACTCGCAAGCTAAGGAGAGGGGCTTGCTATGCCTGTCTGTGCAAACAAGATGGTTTGTGTCAGACGCATGCTTTCATTCAAGAACTCTCAGAATCTGGGTACATGTCAAGCAGGGATTGCCTATGGGATTAGCTTCCAATAAAAGCCCTGGGCACTGAGGCTCTGACGAGCTTCCCTGGAGGGCAACCTTTCTTACAGGCTGTCCGCCTTCACTGCTGGGAAAATCAAGCATGTCCCTGGTGACTCCATGGTGCCTGGCTGGCACAAATGGTTTGTGCTCGACTGTTAACCTTACGGTTGGTGGTTCCAACCCTCCAGCAGCATTGTGGAAGAAAGTCCTTGTGATTGGCTTCCATAGAGATTACAGCAAACAAGGTCCTGTGGAGTAGTTCTCCTTCTCTGTAACACCAAAAAAAATTCAAGCCTGGAGTTGCATGATTAAAAGTCTATGGGAAAGATATTGAATGATGCTGGAAATATCATAAGAAGATGGAATGGAGTCACTGTACCCCCCCAAAAAAGAACTAGTAAGCACAGAAAGGCGCCTAGCTGCATTGAAGACACTGGCAGAAAACACGGCTCCAGGAATGAACAGAATACCAAGTTAAATGTTTCAACGCACTAGGAAGGCATTGGAAGACAGCTCCCTGGCCAACCAACTGGAAGAGATCCATTATTTGTACCAATTTCAAAGAAAAGTAACCCCAGAGAATGCAGAAATCACTGAACAATATCATCATCACCACCCGTAAGTAAAATGTTGCTGACGCTATTTCTGAAACAGATGCAACACATTGATAAAGAGCTACCAGAACTTCAAGCGGTATTTACAAGAGGGGGTGGAACAAGGGATTTAACTGCTGATGTCAGATGAATCTTGACTCAAACCAGAGAATATCAGAAAGATGTTTAATTGGGTTTTACAGGCAACACAAAAACATTAGAATATATGGGTCTTAACAAACTAAGGACAACATTGAAAAGAATGGGAATTCCAGAACATACACCGATACACTCAAGTATAAGCCGACCCGAATATCAGCCAAGGCACCTAATTTTACCACAGAAGCTACATAAAAAATGTGCTGAAAAACTCGGCTTATCCACGAGTATATACGGTGACTGTGCTCCTGCAGAACCTGTACAAGGACCAAGGATTTCAAAGGACGGCATTGAATCTGCAGCTCCGGGAGAGGGATCTATCTGATAGGAGCAACATGGGAGCAGATGAAGGGGGAGGAGGAGAGAGTGGAGCACATCTTGGCCCACCAGGCCATGAGGACAATGTTCCCAGTTAGAGCAGCCAGTCCACAAAGAGGACCTCATGGCCGTCCCCACTATGAGAGATGACGTCCCTCACTGACCCATAGCCCTAAGGAGACAACACCGGGTATTGCGCCCGATCTGGTTCCGCCACACCGAGGCAAAACACTAAGGGGTGCAACAGATCAGCAAGGGAATGGAGTGGCGAGGTCCCCAGGGAATGCTGAAGGTGGACTTTGGAGCCAGGGCGTGGTTCCCCAACAGACTGGACTGGAAAACACTTGTAAAGGCCAACAAACAGTCCTTGAACTAACTACGAAAAAAAGAAACAAGCCAAGGAAATACTGTGTGCTTTAACACCAGGAAAGATGTGCGTCAGGGTTGTATTCTTTCATCACACTTAATTCAATGTGTTGCTGAGCAAATAATCAGAGAAGCTGGACTATGTGAAGTGGCATCAGGGCTGGAAGAAGGCTGATTAACAACCAGCAAAATGCAAATGACACAACCTTGCTTGCCTGATAGTGAGGACTTGAAGCACTTAGTAATGGCTATCAAATACTACAGCCTGCAGTCTGAATTATATCTCAATGTAAAGGGAAAAACATCAAAATCCTCATAACTGGACCAATAGGCAAGATCACGGTAAATGGAGACAAGATTGAAGTAGCCAAGGAATGAAACACCATCATGCACTGGGCAAGTTTGCTGCAACAGACCTCTTCACAAAGTTCAAGAGGAAGGGTGTCACTCTGAGGATGACAGTATGCCTGACTCAAGCCATGGTAGTTCCAACTGCCTCATCTGCATGGGAAAGCTGAACAATGACTAAGGAAGACCAAGAACAACTGATGCCTTTGAGTTATGGTACTGAAAGTACCATGCACTAAGAGAAGACCAAACCAATCCGTCTTGGAAGAAGTACAGGCAGAATGCTCCTTAAAAGTGAGCACTCAGCTTATGTACTTTGGATGTGTTAACTGAGATCACACTGTGATGTGTAGAGGGTCAGCTAACAACAGAATGACCCTCAATGGGATGGACTGACATAGTGGCTGCAACCATGGGCTCAGACATAATTGTATCCTAGAAAAATCAGGATAATGTTTTTGAGAAACAAAGAAAGCCACTAGATTGAAAAACTGGACACATGCTTGTGATAGGGGGGAAAATACCACACACACACACACACACACACACACACACACACACACGCAATCCAAATAGTCCACATGGCAAAAGAACACAAAGGAAATACTTCAGTATAACAATATTCACTGTCTAAGGTTAACTCTAAAAAAATAGCATCAAAATTGTACCTAGATAATGCTGCCCCTTTTATATACTTTCAAAAAAGCAGTAAAGTCAATTTTAGTTCTAATGAACTGAACTGCCACCAACAACAGTTAAATTAAGGATTATGTGGTGGTGGGTTTTGCATTGTCAGCAGTTTGAAACCACCAGCAGCTGGGCAGGAAAAAGCTGAGGCTCTCTACTCCCATAGAGTCACAGTCTGGGACCAACAGGGGCAGCAGCATCCCTGAGGGAACCAAAGCATGGGTTCTCTTCATTCTGAAACTGGAGGGCACACACATTGAAAACCTCATGCCGCCAAAACTGGGAGCCACGAATGACTCCTTAATTATCGTGTGACACGACCTGAAGCCCAGCCCTTTGTCCCTCCGCTGCCATCCCCACGCAGCCCCGCACCCACCTCCTCCCCAAAGAAGCGACAAAACCAACTGCACCTTAAACCATGAACATTTCTCCTCAGGGGCTTTCAATAGTTTCCTATGCAACGCTGTCTTGTAACACACATTCTAACCGAAGTTGGAGTAAATTTTATTTGGATATTTTTTTAAATGTATTACTTTCTATAAATAGCATTTGAAAGTTATTAGAATGCCTTCTCCATCTCCTATTCCTTCATCTTTCTGAATATAATGTGGTTTCATAAATAACACTTGTTTCACCAAATCCCTCTGCAGTGGATGGTCTTTAAAAGTACCGATGACAATTCAGTGATGGCTACACAGCTCCCCAAAAGTACTGCCTGACTTTTCATGAACAAAGCTCGGCTGCCATCTGGTGGCAAGAAATCGTAACTAAAAGTAGCATTCAGTGTGGGAATTAGACAAATGTTGAAAGTTGGGATAAAGCTTTGCCGCCAACATTCATCGTCTAAGACCAAAAAATTAACTGACTGCTATAGTTAATTCAGACGCTTAACGAGCCATCATGTATGAATGTTAATAATTTCACTTAACCAAGTTAAAATCTCTCCAACTTTACTTATTCATTAGCCCTGCGTCGCTGGAAATGTCTAACTTCCTGTGTGATTTGGGCAATCCCTTTGCTTTTTCAACCGAATGTGTTCATCTTTTTTCTTTCTTTTTTTTAATCGTTTTATTAGGGGCTCATACGGCTCTTATCACAATCCATACATTGTAAATGTGTAAATGTGTAAAGCACATTTGTACATTCATTGCCCTCATCATTCTCAAAACATTTCCTCTCCACTTAAGCCCCCGGCATTAGGTTCTCATTTTCCCCTCCCTCCCCGCAACCCCCTCCCTCATGAGCACTTGATAATTTATAAATTATTATTTTATCCTATCTTGCCCTGTCCGATATCTCCCTTCACCCCCTTTTCTGTTGTCCGTCCCCAGGGAGGAGGTCACATATAGTTCCTTGTAATCGGTTCCCTCTTTCCAACCCACTCTCCCTCTACTCTCCCAGTATCGCCACTCACACCATCTTTTGTACTATCACGAGACTCTTCTTTTTTCTAAAGTTCAGTGTTTTCACAAAACCATTTTCGAAAATGGGATTTCAATGCCTGAAGAGACTTCTGGCCCAAGCTCCTTTTTAAAATCAGAGATCGCGGAGCCCCGGGGGAATTAGAGAACAAGTCCGAGTTCCCACGACCGGTGGCGGCAGAGCCCATGCGGTCATCTCGTGTCTTAACTCTCAATGGAACACATGGCTCGCTCCATTAGATCAGTGTGCCGACTTAAGAGTCCCGAGGTCGCACTCACAGTCTTTTTCACAAGCATCCTGAGCACTTTCCCGGGAGACTGGAACCGGGGACTCTCTGGGGCCGGGCGAGCAGAACTGGGCTTCCCAGGCCCTCCGCCCCCTCTGCCCCGCTGCGCGCCCGCGACTCCCGCGCAGCCGCCGAGAGCGCAGGCGGCCCTCTCCACCCTCGGGCCGAACCGGGTCTCCCGCGCAACACTCACGCTCAGCCAGCATCGACATCTCGGCGTCTGTCAGCCCGGGAGCGGTGCAACTCCGCGAAGCTAGAAGCAAGCGTCTGACCCGGCAAGTGGCGCAGCCCCGTAGCGCTTAGTGGTGACGTCACGAAAGGCGACGGGCTCCCGGACGTCGCGTCAGAAAAGTAGGCGGGGCGAGAGCTGTCTTGGGCTGGGATTGGACGCCGGGCCGGAGAGCTTGCTGCGGACATGGCGGCCCGCTGCCGCACGCCCCGTGGGCTGGCTTCCTGTTCCAAGGCAGTAAGAGAAATCTTTATTCGCTTAGCAAATGCAGACATTAATTTGGTGTAAGCAAACGTACGAGTGCCTGTCGCAGATTGTGCGGCAGTGTTACGTAAGTAATTGTTAACTTAATCATCTACCACATTAATTCATCTTATCTACCTAGGGACAGACCAGGAGCCCTGGTGGCTTAGTAGTAGTGGGCTGCTTACTGCAAGGTCGGCAGTTCGGATCCAGCAGCTGCTTTGCGGGAGAAAAAGAAAGCTGCCTACTCCCATAAAGATGTACGATTTTGGAAACCCAAAGAGGCAGTTGGAGTCTGTTCTGTGGGGTCGCTATAAGTTTGAATCAACTCGGCAGTAGGTGGTGGTGGTGATGGAAATGTCAAACATATTATTGGAAATAAGATGTGAATTCTGTCCTCAAGGAGGGCCCGGTCTAATGAGGTAAAGAAATATGCAAGCAGGTGACATTAGGGTTGTTTTAATAATTGTGTGTAAAGGAGTTTGGGAACCCTGATTGGAGGGAAAGAATTTGCACGGTTGTGTCCTCTTTTAGTTCCCTGCCACTAAGCACACATAAATGCACATATGATAGGTTACATAAGCAAATAACTAATTCTAGGAAAAATGTCGCACATCTTTAAATAGCATGGTACTATCAAGACAAAGATTTTGGTTTTTACCACTATAACCTACACACTAAAACTATGCCTATATAATATTGGTCTCTATATCCATACCAGCACCTAGCAAAATTATTTGAGTCTCATAAGAGTCCTATAGATGTTTGTGAATTTTAATTAAAGGGCCTTTGTTCCAATGTTTCCAGGGTAGTTCTAATAATATCCTAGCAGTCAGATTTCATTCAGGCAGTAAGGGTTTATATTTGGACCAATGACTGACTCTCCAATGAATTTCGGGTGACAGTACATAAAGAAATGGAATAGAACATGACCAAAGGAACCGCCAAGGACTAGATTCCTGATCTAAAACGAACCCACCTTTAGCTAAGGAGTCTAGTCAAATAAGGTGGTGGTGTTCTTGTTCTTAGGTGCCATCAAGTCGGTTCCGACTGATAGTGACCCGAGTACAACAGAAGCAAACCTGCCCGGTCCTGCACCGTCCTCACGAGCATCGTGTCTGAGCCCATCATTGCAGCCACTGTGTGGATCCGCTTGTCAAGCTTCTTCCTCTTTGTCATTGCCTTTCCACTTTACCAAGCGTGATGCCCTTTTCGCTCCGGATACATGTCCAAAGTAAGCGAGATGAGGTCTCATGCACCATCCTTAGTTTTAAGGAGTATTCTAGATGTACTTCTTCAAAGGCATATTTGTTTGCAGTGGCAACCCCTGGTGCTTTAAATATTCTTTGCCAGCACCATAATTCCAAAACATCGATTCTTTTTCAATGTGCAACTTTCACATGCAGATGACACCATTGAAAATCCCAGGGCTTGGACCAGATACTCAAAAGTAACATCCTTGCTTTTCAACACCTTAAAAGTCTTGTACAGCAGATTTATCCAATGCAATATGTGTCCCTTAATCTCTTGACTGCAGTTTCCATGAGCATTGATGTAGATCTAAGCAAGATTAAACCCTTGATACCTTCAATCTTTTCTCTGTTTATCATGATGTTACCTATTGGTCCACTTGTGAGGATTTGAGTTTTCTTTACATTGAGTTATAATCCACACTGAAGGCTGCAGTCTTTGATCTTCATCAGCAAGTGTTTCCATCTGTGTTAGGGTTCTCTAGAGAGATAAAACCAAATTGCTAATAATTTAATATATTTATTTATAAAGATAAGTAGATATAGAACAAGGAATGAACTGTTAAATCATATACAGTTAAATATATAATACAAGAAAGAAACAGTTAAATTATAAAACAATACAAATGGCTCAATTCAACTCACTGCCGTGAGAGAGAAGTGAGAGACTAGCAGTCCTTCCAGTCCGATCTGCTGCCAGATCTTCCTCTATTTATAGAGAGAGCTAGGCTATGTCAGCACAGCAGCCAATCAGAAGGCAGGTCACCAACTGCCAGCCAGGTCACCAACTGCCAGTCCCCAGCTCCAGCGATGTCTTAAAGGGACCTCAACTTACAGCGACACAGTCCACAGGCTAGGGGTCCCACAGGTAGTGTAACCTTTAAATTGAGGCACAGGACAAGCAAGGCAGCCGCACACTGGTCCGATGATCAAAGAGTGAGAGACAAGAAAGGCGAGACTCACCAAGGCATTTATCTCTCTGCCCTTCAGTTAATCCCACTTGTGTTTATCGGCCAGGCTGGCACAATAAACTATTTCACCATCCTCATTTGCAGCAAGCATGATTGTATCATCTGCATATCACAGGTCATTAATAAGCTGCCTTCAAGCCAGATGCCACATTCTTCTTCATGTAAACCAGCTCCTCTGATGCTTGGTCAACATACAGATTGCATAAATACGGTGAGAGATCCAACCCAGATGCACACCTTTCCTGAGTTTAAACCATGTAGTTAGTATCCCCTGGTTCTGTTGGCACAACTACCTCTTGATCCATGAACAGTTTCCACAAGAGCACAATGCAGTGTTTCATATTGAGGTTCGTTGCTAATATATTTTGTCTTTGGGGGTAGTCCTCTTGAAGTTGCATTATATGTTTTTCTGTTTTTTGGTATATCAAACCCAGGATTGATGAACCTATAGAGACAACAGGTAGAATAAGGCTTCCTGGGGAGTACAGGAGGGGAGGAAATTGTGAATAGTGTTGACAACAACGATGCGATCTAGTAGTATGAGTACTGAGGTACATCCATCCCTTGCAGCCATGAGCCAAATCTCTGACACTCTGTGGTTGGGTGGGGTGGAGGAGAAATAAAGGAAAATTTATAACCATGAAAGACAAAAAAGAAACCCCACCTCAAAATCAAAGAACACAAATCTCTCCTTCAACTTCAAAAAAAAGTTGTTGTCGTTATGTGTCGTAGAGTCGCTTCTGACTGCTAGCAGCCCTTTACACAACAGATTGTCTACTGCCTGGTCATACACCATCCTCACAATCACTATGTTTACGCCCATTGTTGCAGCCACTGGACCAATCCATCCCTTTTGTGTTAGTCTGGGTAGACTAGAGAAACAAATTCATAGGCACTCATATCTGTATAAGAAAGAGCTTTATATACAGGAGCAATTGAACATTGAGAAAACATCCCATCCCAGTTCAGATCAAGTCCTTAAGTCCAATATTAGCCCATATGTCCGATACCAATCTATAAAGTCCTCTTCAGACTCAGGAAACACATGCAATGACACTGAATGCAGGAAGATCACAGGCCAGTGGGTGAAAAGTCTTGTGGATCCAGTGGCAGTAGAAGCATCTTAGCACTGGCAAGTTTCTCCATCTCCCAGGGCACGGACTATATCAGCATAGCACCATGTATCTTGTCAGTAGAGTGTCTCTCAGAGAGTGATCATGTGTCCCACCTCCAGCAAGCTATTTATCTTCTTAGCACCTCCAAATGAGGTCCTCAAGCTACTACTGATTGACAGGCTAGATTCCACCGCTTTATTCTGAATCCTCAAACTGACACCACATTATGTAACTACCACACCTTCCCAGTCTTCCTCTTACCAAGCATGATGCCCTTTTCCAGGGACTAGTTACTCCTATTAACAGGTTCAAAGGACACAAGATCAAGTCTCACCATCCTCACTTCTAAAGAGCGTTCTAGCTGCACTTCTTCCAAAACAGAGCTACTATTAAAGAAAAGAAAAGACGCTGTGGTACACTGAGAGCAGGGGTTGCTATTGAACTATGAATCTCAAAAGCAACCCTCTAGATAATAACCTGTCCATAGGCCGGACAGGCAAAAGCGGTCTTCACAAGACTGCTGTAAGATGAAAACAGAATGAGAATCTAAGCATTTGAGCTGAGGACTCCCCACCTGTAAAACCAAACCCAAAGCAAAAAAAAAAACCAAACAAACCTGTAACAGTAATCCAAAATAAATGAAATATCCTTAAACAGTTATTTGGGAATACTTTTATATACATACGTTTCTGATTCAAGGTGTATATGAATGACCATGAAATAAAAATTCAGAAAGTGACAAAAGAAGAAAAGAGAGGAGAAACACTTTAGGCAAAACATGAACAATATAAAAATAATAAACAACAAGGACAACAGCAGGGAATTAGGTTGACGTTAGACTTTTCAATATCAATGTATAAAGCAAGCAACCGTGAAGCAACAATTTCAGTAAATTCAAGAAAGGGAACGAACCATGGACCATGTTGTTCTTCATGAAGCATTGGTGGTCCAAAGGTCGCATTCTCATCTCCATGTGGAAGATCCAGGTTTGAGTCCCCATCAACTCACCTCAGACCCAACCACACTTATGTGTCAGTGGAGACTTGTGTGTTGCTAAGAAGTTGAGCAGCTTTCAGCAGAGCTCCCAGATGAAGACCAATTAGGAAGCCAGGTCCAGAGATCGACTTCCTGAAAGTAGGCAACAAAAACCCTGTGGATCATAACTATCCAACCCACTGCTCATTGTGGGAAAAGCACAGGTCAGGGCAGCGTTCACTGTGTTGGGCATGAAGTCTAATAACAACAACAAAAGAGAAATAGACCCAGTATATTATGTACTATAAGGAACACGTGGATGGGTCAGAATGGGTAAACGCTGGAGATGGAGAACTCCAGCCATGTAAGAAGTCCTGCCCATCTTTGTTTGGATGATTCTCAACAAGAGAACCCAACATTTCAACTTTTCCTTGGATAGGCTCTGGCAAGCATTTGGTGCAGGTAATAAATATTTCACGAGGATCCATTC